AAATCCTAAAACAAACAGCCATGCCAGATTGCTCATCCAAGACATCAGGACTGCCTCAGCTGAAAGACCTTGGCCAGAGTCACTGAAGCCCATCCTTTTCTTTGTTCCAAAAATGAACTCTAAAGTCTAAAAATCTCAGTATGGAGGGCAAATAAACTTTTTAGTTAACTGACAGATATCATTATAAACAAAAGCCTCTTTGTCTTATTTTTTAAAACAATCTGACATGAATTGCTATCCTTTTTAAAGAAAGCTGTTATGGGTACCTGGCTCCACCTCTTTGCACCAGGACTGAGATGAGACCTCAAGGAGAGATGGACAGCTGGACAGGGCTTCAAGTGCCCCCATCTAATGCTCCTTCATTGTCTTCCCACAGTCTGCTGAGTGCTGCGAGAAGGCCACAACAACCACTCTATCTCAAGGAGTTCAGAAGCTGAGGAATAAGACTACAAAAATGTAGGAGGGAAATATTAGAAGAAAGGCTACAGCTGCAATAAAACTCTGCTGTCTCACTCAGAATTTTAGAAGAGTGAAACAAAAATATTGAATCCTACATTTTCTTAACCCCATGATCTACAAGTTCACATATCGAGACGGCAGCTTCCAGGAGCACTGAGCACCTGGAACAATGATTGCAAACCCTTGTCAACTGTAGGAGGACAGCTCGCTTCCAGCAGAGACTTTTCAGTCATGCTGCAGCTCTCCGGAATGCAGTCCCTCAGGCATCCTCCTCTCTGAGCAGAAAGGTTTGGGCCTAACTCTGGTTTGCCAGTGGGGACTTTTCCTGGTGTCTGATGTTCAGCAGTAACGGCGCTTGCTCCTTACCCATCTCTGCTGGGTACTTTGTTCAGGTTCTTCTCTTCTTCTTTCTCCTCTTATTTAAGTCTTCCAAAATCTTCTTATTTAACTCCTCTCTGAAGTTCCTATCAACCTTCCTGAATCCATCCACATTCGCACCTGAGCTGACCTCTCTGAATCCTGGCCTGCCACCTTCCACTCCAGCCCAGTGTCCATCTGCCTCTGCTTCTCCTGAGCTTGCTCCATCTATAGCCTCTCCTGTCCTTCTTCTGCACTTGAAGCCAAATTTTCCTCACCCTTCCAAACCCAGCTCACACATGGCCTCCTCTTGGAAGACTTTCTCACCCTACTAAGAGGAGTCAAATGATGCCCTCTCCTTGCTCTAGTATCTTTCTGTCCTTCTGGTGTACTTTCAAAATAATATAATGCCTTCAGAGAATGCTGAACTCTCCTAATGAACACAGCTGCTTGAGATGAGGAGCTACATCTTACATGTTCTCATTTATTAGGAAACTAACCCAAGGCCTAAGATATAACCAGCACACAGAGAATGAAAAAAAAAAAAATATATATATATACACACATATATTAATAGAAACATTACATACCAAAACGGAAAAGAAATAAAGGTTTCTGCTCTCTGTCAGGTGCACTGCAATCTCATATACCTAATAATACATGTCTCAAAAGCAACAGGCAAAGTCGTAAATCTTATCCTCCCCCAAAGTAAAGCCTCTGCTAGGCTTTTATTATTCCATCCATTGCACAGTTAAAGCTCTACCTATAAGAAGACTCAAATCAACAAACCACTTTGTTCTTATTTCTACGCAGTGTTTTATTTGGACTCCAGACCTCCTCTGCCAATTTGGAAGGATTCACAGCTCACAAGGGCTCTGATGATATCCACAGCCTTCACCCAGAGCAGAATAGGAGCTGGACAAATTTGCAATGGACAGGAAATAGATAAATACACACAGCCAGTTCATACAACTGCACTAGATGGGAAATGTTAACAATTGTCATCAGAAGCAGGTTATAAAAATTATTACCTTTCCTTGTCATTAGCTTTATTAACTTTTTCCAATAATGAGCTGAATCATTCGCTCATGCAGAAGAGGATTAAAAAATCAATATTGTAAAAGTCAGAGGCGAAGAGAGAAGGCAAGAAACCACATTAAATGTCAAATGGCACTCAGTCCAGTCAAAAGCAGATCATTTGGATGAAGCTCCAGGTTGACTGTAGGACCCAGAGACACTGAGTCTAAGGAGGCTCACCCTGCCAGCACGCACACCAGGCTGCATGGGCCACCTTGCAGGGTGGGACCGACATTTCTAACTACCAGGCCCTAGGCTCCCAGCCCAGCAGGCTGCCAACTCACTGCCACCTTCAATCACTACATGTGGAAGACTTGGATGAGAAAATACTTTGTTCAGGTTCTTCTCTTCATCTTTATCCTCTTATTTAAGTCTTCCGAAGTATAGTTTTGGAATTAGCTCCACTAAGACACTTGCCAACCCACCACCCAATCCAAAGGGAACTGCTTCCTTTAGAAGAAGTGATGGCAACAGCATCCACCCAGCATTTCAGTTGGCTGCCTGGTGTAGCTGTCAACTTACAGAACAGCACCTGGCTTCCATTCTATTCTTGCCTACCGCCTCCACAAATCGTTCACTACAACACTTCATGCAGGACACGCTTCGGCCATGGTTCCACACAACAACAAACGCTGGCCAACTCTGACAAAGCAGAGTAGACAGGCAGTGATTAGCAGGTGACACAACCCTTTAAAAGGCAGCCAACCCAGACAGAATCCACCGGCAGCCTGGATTCTGTATGCAGGACTGACCGACACCTGAGCTGCACTGAGGAACTCCAGCCCCAGTTACTCAGTGTCCTCCGGACTCACTTGTTCAAATTTCCTGGGACGGGGTTTCCCTGGCTGAGCTTGGGACCTGTGGCCACATCCATTTTCCACACAGCACGCTGGATGCTGGGATACCATCCCACCAAGGCTATGCTCACAGGAAATAGGAATGCTCCCCCAAAAATCTAGAACATCAATTTCAAAGAGAACTGGATGCAGAAACTTCAAAAAATGGGACTGCCCACAAAAATTAAACCCTTCCAAACTGAAGAAAGTTACTTGCTTTACTGTTCCCTAGAAACCCTAGTTTAAACAAGGGCACTATCCACTTTGCAATTGGGGAAAATCAGGTATGAATATGCTTTAGTCTAAGATCACCCTTCACTTAAAAAATCCAAAAAACAAAAAGCTACATCCAAGGATCCAAAAAGCTTTGCCAAGGATTATCTAAGTTCTTCCCAACTTTACCAGCAAGAGAAAGTTCTTCTCCCAAAGACAGTCCAGGCAATCAGCCCAACCTTTCCTTAGCAGATGGAAAAAAGGGAAGCTGTGAGTTCTCTTTTGCTGTAATTAACACTCTCCAGGTGAGAATGAAGAACCAGCACACCTGTAGGCTGTGATTTTCCATCTCTGATGACTGTCCTTACTCTGTCTAAACTGATTAACCCTTCCTCTCCAAGACAAGAGTCCTCTGCACATGGTTAGCAGGCTGCCTGCCCAGAGACAAAATGCAAGAGCCTCTAAGATCATGGCATTCTGGCTCCAGCTTCTCTTTACATCCACCGACTCCTCTAGGATCCACAGGGTTTCAAAAGCACAAGTTAGAGGGCACCACTCACACCCTTACAAATTCTAGGAACCTTTACCGCATCAGTCACTGTGGGCTGTTTTGTGAGCTAACTCCTCAAGGCATTTAAAGCCTATAATCTGGCTTCAGATCATGCCCTTCTCACCCTGTGTCCTGTCCCCCATGCCAGACCAGCTGTCTCCTCAGGCTGTGAGGGCTACCCAGCTTGCAGGGCTGAGGTCCAATGCTACTTCTGACTACCAGCATCTAATGTGACTCCCCTCATTCGTAAACCATTTTATCCTTACTTCCACTTAACATGTATGTAACCAATTTGCCCTTTTGAAAGTTCTTAGCTCAAATGTATCTTCCTCACTACAGGAAAAATTTCCTGAAGGTTAGGAGCTTAGCTGTACTTCTGAGAGGGCCCAGAGCATGTCTTATACACCTACTGCATTTGGAACATCTGTGTAATCATCAAATTAGTAACCAGAGGCCTGCGCTAGCAGGTCCACCATCCCCTCCCTGAAGTGATTATCTCATGTGGCTTCTCCTCCATTCTGTGGGCACTGGGCTGCACACCTAGTGCAAGACACAGCTGCCCCAGTCTCAAAGCCCATGTCCTGAGATGCAGCCAACAGCCATTCCCTCCATCCTGCTGTCAGTCCCAATTCCATCTACCTGTCTGCCCTCAGTGTGCCTAGAAAAGGGCCCTGGGTACAGTCAGTGGAGCCCTCTCTCACTGTCTGTGCTGAGGACTATTTAACCATGGACACCTAGTGCAGTTCTCCCAGGGGCTCGGGTTAAGGGGTCCTTGCAAGCAGAGACCCATGGGCTGACACAGCCTTTCCTTTTCTGCTGTTGAGTGTGGTCCTGGTGGCATGGGGTAAGGTCCCCACAGCCATCAATGAACTGTAGGGACAGTTAGCTTGAGTACAGATGACACACTGGGCATCGTAGAGAGGCAGGATAGACATTGGGTCCCTGCAGATGCTGATATCAGTACAGGGATGCATCAGGACATCTCATGTTAAAAAATAACTCTGCACTTCAGCAGAAAGAATCTTAACTAATGGCCTCCAGTCAATGACATGTATTAATCACAGCAGCAGCAGTAACAGCACATTTTCATAATTTGCCAGGCACATCCTAAGCCCTAGGAATATATTCTCTCCAATCCCATGGGCAATGCTGTGTGTGAACATCACGATCCTCGAGCCAGATTCTGTCCAAGTTAGTAAGTAGGGAGCCACAGTTTTTGCACTCAGGCAGCCTGACTGTAAAAGTGATTTTCTCCAGGCTGTACATTATGTGTCCAAGCCCTGGCTCTCCCTATTCACCCCTCCTGGCACACACAGTAACACACCCTGGCACTTGTAAATGATCGAGACTCAGATGATCTGGCCATTACAGCAGCAAAGTGCATCAGTGACGTAGCCAGGGCTGCAAGAGCTGAGCTCCTGGTCCTAAGACACCTTTTCCACAGAGGTGGAACTGAAGAATCTGACAGGCTGCAGACAGACCCAGCAGCCAGGAAAATGCGTACTCACCAGCCGGGCTGACTGCTGCTCCTCCTGATCAGTACCACTCTCCACCACAGGCGGGGCCAATGGCAAGTGCTTGGCAGCTGCCTCTCTTTCCCGCTTCACCACCTGGAACAGCTCATCCTGGACGGTAGCCTGCTCCTGTCTGAACCTAGGATAGAAGAGAGGGGAGAGGCAGATGCAGAAGGCACACCTGGCAGAACATCGGCAGGGAAAGGTATGATTCTGTTCACTTCAGTGGGCCCAGCGGGGCTGGGATTTATGGGCCAACCGAATTCTGAGGCTGCCCAGGAAAGGAAGGCCCATCATCTCACCCCTCAGAGCTTAGATATCAGGGGCAGCAGCCAAAGCCAGGAGAGGGTGACTTAGTACAGGGAAGGACCGGCCACTAGGTGAGGAATCAAGCAGCCAAGTGCCCAACAAGAGCCAGGCAGAATCCTGAGTGAGCCCCTCCTTCAGAGGAGGATTTGGGTGGGGAGCCCCAGCTTCTCCTTGGCACCATTTGAAGAGAGCCCAAGGTTTCAGAGTTCTTTGCTTTGAACACTTCACTGTATGCGCCTACCCTTTGACCTCTTCTGGGTATTCTGCCTAGGAAAATAATCCTATACAGAGAAAACTAACTGTTAGTGCTAAAATGATCTTAGATACTATTTATCTAAAAGCTATTTACTTTAAAACACAAGAAACCTAAATGTGCAACCATCAAGATCAAGTTAAATAAAATATTGCATAATCAGACCATGGTATATTACACCACCAATGGAGAATATATTCTGACTTTTCTATCTGTTGAATCTAAAATGAGAACAAGTAAACAATATATTTAGCAATAAAATATTTATAAAGCAGGTATAACTAAAAGGAAATAATCTAAGTGAAAATAGCAAGATGTAAAACTACATATGGCTTTAAAAAATAATCTTGAACTAAAAGAAAGAAGGCATGTGAAACACACACTCCAAATATTAACAGTGGTTGTACTGAAATAATGAGTCTAAGGGGATTTCTTTCATTTTCTATATTTTCTGAATCTTTCATTAGCATATTTTACTTCAACATTTTAAAATTGTTTAACAGCATCCCAAAAAGAGATGGGATAAGAGTTCAGGTTAGTTCAGGTTAGTCTGCAAGGAGCCTCCTACAAGTAGGGAGGGCAGATTCTTAGGGTGTGAGTCTTAACCTAGCATGACCTACTGGAGGGCCAAAACTCCAACCACGGCACACACTGGGCCACAAGTCACCTCTTTGGGTCCTCCGACCACACAGAGACCAGCTTCCCCAAGGGTCCCCCGAGGAAGCCAGTTGGTAACAATTGCAGTTGGCAGTCGCTGAGCACTTTGCATGCCAGGCACCATGCTTCGACCTTATGTGCATTAGCTTTTTAAATCATGACAACACCCAGTTAGCGAAGCGCTCTTCTTAGCCCTTCTTAGACACAGTGACTTTCCAGTTGACTAGTGGGTCACAGAATCAGGATGTTGGTACATATCCCAGGGGCCTTTGTACCCTAACCATTTTTCTACAAGTCCTGAGGGAACAGGAAGCAGGTCTCATTTCAGGGACATGGCTGATTCTCAGGATCCTGGTCTGGCTGACAGGAAGTCACCAACATCTTGGAGCCAGTCTATCAATTAGAATTGTGACAGCTCCTCTTTCTTCATCTGTCTAAAAACATGCCTGTAGGTGCATGCATGTGCGCACACACACACACACACACACACACACACCTGTGTACACACATAGAGGATGGCAACCTACTGTTTAGTTCAAGCTTTTTAAAATGAATTTTTAAAAACCTACTTGTAGCAATCAGCTCCCCTGGGTCCCTGTTGAAATTTCCTCATCTTTAACCTAGGACCAGTGTCACCTATACCACAGGGAGGTCCCTCAACACAAATGAGATAAAACAGGCAACACAAAACCTTCAGCACCCCCACAGGGAGCACACCAATGAGGAGGAGGGAGACTTTAGGTAGAGTACAACACTGGTGGCAAGCACTCAAGCTCACCTCTTGAGGTCCTCCTTCACTCCCAAGAGCTGCTGGCCATCATTGGTCTCAGACCTGGGAAGTCTGGGTTCTGTAGAGAAAACACAAAAAGAATCCTATCAGAAGGCAAACTAGCTACCCAGAAAGGGCTCAGGAACACAGCCCCTCCTATGAAGGTACAGTGTGCCCCACACACAAATAGACATGTGCCCCAGAGAGAAGCATGGCCCACATATACACTAACAAGCCCTGGTAATCAGAAGAGGGACTGATCCTTGATTCAAGCAGCCTGTTAACCCTAAGGCTCCTCTTGTGTCCCAGTGGACAAGATCTGTGCAGACCAGGTACTAACAGCACAGGGCTCATAGCCATTTATGCAGTATTCCAAATCCATCCCCACTCATTCAATCATGATTCAGAATCTGGGTCATATCCTAAATGCAGGCCAGACGTGGCTGGCAGAAGCCAGGCTCTGCTCCATGAGAACAGCCTGCTAGGTCTAGGTTTTGGCATAGGGACAGGAGAGGACAGAAGGGTCCTTAAGTTTTACTTCTTTAATATCTGCTTTTGCTTGAGATTTAATTGCTATTCTGAAAGTACTAAGGGTGTTCAGCCATACTGCCCTGAATGCACCCGATCTCGTCTCATCTATTCTGAAAGTACTAAGAGATGGAGCTTTGGGGGTAACTAGGATGGGATGAAGTCATCAGGCTGGGGCCCACAAGGGCACCCATGGATTTTTAAGAGGAAGAGAAAGCTGAGCTTATACACTTGTTCTGTCTCACCATGAGATATTCTGTGGTACCAGAGTCCTCACCAGCAAAGAAACCCTCAACAAGTGTAGCTCATCAATCAGAATGGGCTCGCAGCCTCCAGAACTTTAAGAAACTTCTCTTCACAAACTAGCCAGCCTGAAGTGTTCAGCTATAGCAACAGAAAATAAACTAATCCAATATCCGACCTCCAATCTTGCATATGGCAATATTCCATATTAAACTTAAGTATACTATAATCTGTATCACATCTAGCATCCTTAGGATCATCATGAATTTCATGATTTCTGAGCAAATCCACTTTACCCTCTCCACCACCTGGTACCCTGAATGCTGTTAGCTGCCTTCCCGTCCAGCCACTACCCTTCCAAACGTTCTGTCAGTCAAAGCTAGGCTCATCTCCGTGGCCTTCTGTGATGGCCTCGCTCTCCACTGCTGGTTTGTGCGCAGTATCCGCCAGAACCGCACAGGTGAGACGAAAGCGGCTGGCTCTGTGAGGGAGGATTGAGCCTTTGCTCATCCACCCCGGCTGCCAAGGCGCCCTTCCAGGAGGCGCTTCCAAGAAGGCCAGCCCACAACTCACACTGGCTCGCACTGGGGCGGCTGGGCACAGCTCCAGCCTGAGGAAGACATAGCTCAATACTCTGCAGGAACACGGCACTCTCTCCACGGAGAGTGAAAAGTGAGCAGACCGTTGCTGGAGTCCTATTTTGACTTTAATGCTCCTCATTCTTATTTCCAACAGCTTCACTGAGGTACAATTTATGGTATTTATTTTTGCTTTTGATATACTCTTCCTATTTTACAACTACCAAAATAATACACCTACCCAGTGTTAAGAATACGGCACTAATCTACACTCCGTCCTTGCCTGTAGAATCCAGCCAGCTTCCTTGTTTCCCTGGCAACTACTGGCTTAATATGTGTGTTTTCAATTATTACCAAAGTCAAAAGTCTCATCATAAGAACAGCAGACCATTTCTGCCATTTTCTATTGTGTTTTCTTGAAGATCCTGTCATACATTAAGACTACCAGTACTTTGTTAAATGTTGTATTTTCCCTCATTTATCATCCATTCTTCAGGTTATTTTTTAAAAATCATCTCTAATTTCAGATAGTCAATTTTCTAGTTTTATTCTTTAAGTTTTTTCACTTGATGTGGTACTTAGAAAATCTATTTTATTTTTATGGTTTCAATTCTTACACTTACATCTTTTATTTCCTGCAGCATTTATTTAGGGGTATGGTGTGAGATGAGGGTTTAATTTTAACTTCTTTTTCTAACCTTGTTCCATCACTAAAATAAATGCAAAAACTGATTTTAAGAGTTAAAGATGTCTTAAAATGAGTCCACTTCAAGGCATTCCATTTGTCTTTAAATTTTCTTCGGAATTCAGAAACTCACAATTCACGCTCATTGCTTCAACTACAAAATATTTTGTGAAAACTAAAACCAAACAACAATCAAACCACTATTTTTTTTTCTTTTTAAAATGCTGAAACTAGGCTGAGGATATAGCTCAGCAGCCTAAGCGCCTGCCAGGCAAGCATAAGTTCCTGAGTTCAATGCCCAGTACCCAAAAAAAAAAAAAAAAAAGAAAAAAGAAAAGAAAAGAAATAAAGAAAAAGAAATGAAAATGCTGGAACCAAAATGGAAGCAAGTGCTTCTCGTTCCAGAGAAGAAGCTGACATGTCACATACTCAGCAGTTCTTGCTTTTTCCACTACTTTTTCCTTCTCACTGATGAATCTATTAAATCTATTGAAGAAGGTCAAATTAGATCCTTCTTCAACCCCTCTCATCACTTGACTATGGATAAATCATGGAAACTAAGCTCTTTGGTAAAATACAGAGGGATTTGTATTTTAGGACTTGTGGGGCTTTCAAGAATCTCGCTTGGCCCCCTCAAAGAGTCTCAGGGCAAGTCCAGTGCAGACAGGATGGCTGCTACGTGCAGAAGCCTTGAGGCAGGCAGCAAAAGGCAGAGGTGTGAGACTGCCTGGCGGGCGCCCCAAGCCTTGAGGGTGAAGCCAGAGCTGTCCAGCCACTCTGTGAACCAAACTGCTCACCCTTTCTCCTTTGTATCCCAGAGGCAGCAAACTACTTTTGGAGGCCAAACAGGCCAGGCCACACCACACATCTGGGCCTCTGCATCTAAGTTCACCTGTAACTTGACCCTTCTATCCTATCTGTGCAAATCCAGGGAGCCCCTCCCAAAAGATAAGCCTGCTCTGCACTGGGCTGGACCTGAGTCAAGGCAGTCCTTTAGTGCTGTTACACAAATCACAACGTTTAGGGAGTGCATGTGGGCCTTAATTAGGGCCGTGCGGACCCCAAAGGAGGGGTCCCACTGCCACTGCGTCCTACACAGAGCATATTCATAGTGAAGATGAATAGAAGTGACAATACTGCGTGAGGCCATGAGATGATGACACTACGGTGAATGGCCTCCCCTGTGACACTATCTATCCTGTCACCAGAGAGGATCCCTCAGGGAAGATGCCCCAGGGGCCTGGCTTAGGGTAGAGTCACTGAGACTAAGAATAGCTCTGTGTTTCTTAGAATCCATAAAGTAGTTTCTCACTTGAGTTGTCAAAACAAGTCCTTCTGCCTCATTTTCTCCACATGGAGAAACTAAAACATTAGAGTGCAGGAAAACAGTTCTGTCCAGACCTCAGAAGCCCCAACTATATCCACACCACACAGCTGTCCACACCACAAGCTGCATCTATCAGGCAAGAGAACCACACTCCCAGGAAAGCATGAGCAGACCAGACTTCGCTGATACCACTCAGCAGCAGAAAGCCAGTGGGCAGTCAGATGTTGTCACATGTGGCTCCCTTCCCTGCTCCCTAGCTGCTGTGCCTGCCATACCTTGCTGAGGAGCTGGCTGCTGACCTTCTGCAGGTGGGCTGGAATCCTTCATGCGATGGACCACGTTCTCAGACAGCTATGGGAAGAATTGAGGAATTAGAAAAGAGAGGGACAAAGTTATATCACAGAAACTCTTGGCAATTAACACTTCCTTTACTCATGCTCCAGACATCCTGAACACGATTTTCTCCAGACAAATTCTGAAAATCTCATTCTCTGCAACAACCTCCCATGATGCCCAGTGCCTCCCAGGACGATGGCCACTTGCCGTACTGCATGTCTCCAGCTCTGCAGTTGCACCTCCCGCCGCACCTCTACGTCCCCTGCCCTCAGTGCCACTTAGCTCTCCCTTTTTGCCTCCTCTGAAGGCAGGCACACACGCTGTCCCTTTGAGTCATGATGAGCCCTCGGCTCCCACTCCATCCATCTCCACCATCCCTACTTGCACTGTTCCGTGAAGGGTGACACAGAGACAGCACACGCCGTTCACCGTTCCCTTTAAGCCCACTGTAATGTAGATACCTCTCCAGGTGGCACTGTACGTCCCACCAGCTACCCTGACAGTCGATACACACCCGGAGGGGCAGGGCTGCAACTCCCTCACCTCTGTGCATCCTCCAGTGCCACACAGAGCACATAATCAAAACACTTCTTGACTCATTTCACCTTAGTTCCCCTAACGAAGACTGGATAACCAAGACATTCATTCATTTCAGGGGAAGTGAAATAGGCATAAGGGTGTCATAAAACAGTTTACGGAGATGAAATAGCAAGCTAGGGATAAATCTAGAATAAAAACTCTTAAGAGTTCACTTCAGTAAATATTTATTAAGTGCCTAATATGTGCAAGGCATCATAAAGCACAGTGGAAGGGAACACATTAAACATGACTTTAAGACAAAAGGCATGATCAGCAATTCTGCTTCCACATATCTAACTGAGAAAAATACTCCCCAGTGTAGCCAGAGGCATGTGAAAGGAGGCTCACTGTGGCACTAGTGGAAATAGACAAGACCTAGAAAAAAACATAAATATTCAACAATGGGGAACTAGTTCAAGAAATTTTAGTGTGTACAATCTGAAGTCTGGAGCCTTTAGAAAGAGTGAGGTGGGGCTGGGGATTTAGCTCAGCAGCATAAGCTCCTGCCTTGCAAGCAGGCAGTCGTGAGTTCGATCCCTGGTACCGATAAAAACGAAAAAGACCAAAAAAAAAAAAAAAAAAAAAAAAGAAAGAAAGAAAGAGTGAGGCAAGACATGTGCATATCGTTGGGGAAGGATGGCTAAGATAGGATGTAAAATCACAGAGCTCTTAGTTCATCTCCATTGTGTAAAAAGATAGGCACAGGTTTTAAAATGCAGACGAACATAACTCTGGCTGTGAGTGAATAACACATGTCCACATTTACAAATACAAGTATACATCTGAATGGTTATCTGTGCACATCTGTGCTCAGAGAGGAATCTATAGAGGCATGGACCAGGGTATTCAAGGGGTGTGCACCATCACATGGTAGGAGCAGCAGAGGCAAGACTCTCTCAACTGGGCCCTCTGGGTCTCAATTCCATTTCCTTGTGTATATCTTCATTTTTTTACCCACAAATATTTATTTAGTAAGTAACAATTATAATAATGATTGAGTCTCTCTACAAATCCAATAGCTAAGGAATGACATAGAGCAAGACCAGACACACACATCAAAGGGAGGGAACACTGACTCCAGCAGGGTGTCCCTATGGTTTGGACAGGGCTCCCGTGTCGAAGTGTGGTCCCCAGGTAACAATGGAGACAGGCAACTGGCCCCTCAGGAAGCAGCCTGGGGGAGGCTGTTACTGTCCCTCCCCACTCTGGCTTCCATTCTAGGGATGTGATCACACCTTCTCTAATGTGGTCCCTCTTGTCACTGCGATCCCACCCACCATGAAGCTCTGTAGCCAAGGGACCTTCACCAGAACCAGCATCATGCCATTGGACCTTCAGCCTCCAAGCTGTGAGCTAAGTAAATGTTCTTTCTTTAGAAGTACCCAGTATCAAGGATTTTATTAGAGTAACAGAAAACAAAATATTACAGAAGTCGAGACAATTCAATGAAGGAAAATAGAACTCTTTCAATAAATGGTGTGGGAATAATGTGATATCCCCATACCAAAGAATAAAGCTGGACCCCTTCCTTATACTATACCCAAAAACTAATTCAGAAAAGATCACTGACTTAGGTGTAACAGCTAAAATAATGAAGTTCTTAGAAGAGAACACAGGGCTGAATCTTACTTTGTGTTGGCAATGGACTCTTAGATATGATTTCAAAAGTACAAGCAATCAAAGAAAAAAATGGATGTATTAGACTTCATCAAATTAAAGCTTTGTTTTTCAAGTGACACAACCAAGCCAGACATGGCACCACATGCCTGTAATTCTGACTACTCAGGAAGCTGAGGCAAGAGGGTCACAAAATCATGGCCAGTCTGAGAAACTTAGCAAGACCCTGTCTCAAAATTTTAAAAATTAAGAAGGGGCTCAGTGACAGAATGCTTGTCTAGCCCATGTGAAACCCTTGGTTCAATGGCCAGTACCAAAAAAAAGCAAAATCACAATAGAGCAACTGAAAAGACAACCCATGGTATGGGACAAAACATCTGCTAATCACATAGCTGATAAGGAATGAGCATCTGAAACAGGCAAAGAATTCCCTTGCTCAAAAGAAAAATAACCCTATTAAAAAGCTGTTGCTATGATTTGCTAAGAGTAACTCAAAGGTCTACATATTAAAGCTTGATTTCCAGGGTGGCGCTACTGGGAAGTGCCAGCACCTTCAGGACTGGGTGGTCCTTGGTGGTCCCTGCCGGTCCTCAGGTGGTTGAAGATTTGCCATTAGGGGGATGTAGGATCCATCTCCCCGTCTCTCTTTGCTTTTGCTCTCTCTGGCTTGTGAGGAGGCAATCTGCTCAGTCACTTGTTCCTGCCTGACATGCCAACCCTGCCATAAGCTCAGAACAATAATGCCAACTATCATGGGGCACAACCTCCAAATGGAGCCAAAATAAACATTTTATCTTCATAAATTAATTACCTCAGATGTTTCATTACAGTAATGTAAAACATTTCTCCAAAGATATATCAATGGCCCAAAAAATGTATGAAAAGATGCTTGACACCCTTGGTTACTAGAGAAAAGCAACATCCACCCACAATGAGACACTGCTTTAAAACCACTAGGATAGACACAATCAAAATTCAAACAGTGAGGGTCAGCAAGGGTACAGAGCGATCAGAACTCTCACACACTGCTGGTGGGGATGTAAGAGAATAGAGCCACTCTAGTAAATGGCCTAGAAATTCTTCAACAGTTAAACATAGTCTAAAGTCCAACAATTCCACTCCTAGGTATGTACTGCAAAGAAATGAAAACACGCCCACATGAAATGTGTACACTAGTATTCACATCATGATAATGATCAAAAGTGGAAACAACACCCAAATGCTTATCAACTAATGAGTGGGTAAGTTAAGTGAAGTGTATTATAAAATGAAGTATTATTCTGTCAGTAAAAGGAATGAAACATTGATGCATACCACTACATGGATGAACCTTACAAACATTATGCTGAATAAAAGTCATCAGACACAAAAGGCTACCTTCAACATGGTATACTTACACAGTATGTGCAAACTAGGTAAATCTCTACATACAGAAAGTAAAATCATAGTTGCCTTGAGCTTAGGAGGTGTATAGTAAGCTTTCCCTTCACTGAGACACAATTCCCAACACCTACAACTTAAAGAGGGGTTTATTCCAGCTCACAGTTTCAGTGGATTCAGTTCATAGTCAGCTGGCTCCTAGACAGAAAAGGCATGTTGAAAGTGTACGGCAGAGGAAAACCTGCTCACACTATGGCAGTCAGAAAGTAGAGGGTTAGAGGAAGAGGAGCCATGGACAGGAAGACACCCTACCAGGTCAGGCCCCAGGGACCTACCTCTTCTGATCATGCCTCACTTCTGAAAAGGAGACCTTTTTTTTTGAGACAGAGTATAGCTGTGCAGTTCAGGCTGGCCTTCAACTCACTTTGTAGCCCAGGCTGGTCTTGAACTTGGTGATCCTCCTGCCTCCCAAGTGTTGGGATTACAGGCATGTGCCACCACACCCAATTTCTCTGAACAAGAGATTTTTGAGGAACATTTTAGATTCAAGCCACAACAGGGAGATAAGGAGACTGAGAGCAGATAAACATAAAGGGCTGAATGGGGGATGGGGTTGAAATGTTATAAAAAAATAACTTTGGTAATGGCTGCACACATTTAGATGTAGCTCAGTAGTAGAGCACTTGCCTAGCATGCACAAGGCCCTAAGTTTGAGCCTAGCACTGAGAAAATAAGTGTGCTTTACAAGAATGACTTGTATGGCATGTAAATCATATTTCAGAGTGTTATACAAAGTGAGACTGGTAAGCAGCACAAGCAAGCCACGGGCACACCAGGGAGAGAACAAGTCAGTGTCTCCCAAAAAACAGCCATGCCGGCACTTGGGAAATACGGGAGATTTCCTTCTATCTTGTCTTTGAAGGCAAATATTGCTTTCACTGTTTTGCTTTGTTCTGATTAATTGTTTTGCTCTGTTCAATATTCTGTTTTGATTAGTTTTATAGTATTCTGTTTTTGGTTTGATTTTGCTATACCTGATTGAATGGACAACTATTGTGAAGATAAGATATACTATGGCACCAATTATTGTTATCCCAGTATCCTGCACTGAAGTTCTGTACCAGTTTCACTGCCTTGATTTGATTGGCTCTGTTATGTATTGTTTTGTTGTTTTTACTATCTTTAAAATAAAAAATAAAATAAATAAAGTGAGCTAGAAAGATAGAACACCAAAGACAAAAATGAGCAGACCAGGTAAGGCATCACTCAAAAACAGCAAAAGGAGATGTCCCTGTGGCCGGACATGCCAAGGAAAGTAAGCCTGTGAAGGTTTCCAAAGGCATGTGCATCATTCAGTGAAGAGGAAAACTACACTTCATGGGCAGAGGCGGGGATGAAAGCTAACATGACGCAGAGCAAATGGAGCAGAGACAGGCAGA